TTTTGCTTTCTGAGGGGCAGCCCGATGGGCCAACATTTACCCACTGATTAATCTCCGTGTCGCGAAAAGTTTCACTGGTAAATTTACACAGGAGCCGTGCCAGTGAAAACAGTTGGCGACCCTAATCCCCATCCTATATCCCTTCTCTTTGTCAAACAACTGTGAAGGTTTCTGAGCAAGCAGTTCCACACCAGTGTTTTGCAGACAAAAACAGGGACATGCTTTTTAATACCCCCTATTTTCATGCCACTCCCTGAATGGTCTCTTCACGCATGGAGAAAAGCCCCATCTGCTGTGTGTTCACTCCTTTACTCTGCGATGGCTCGTCCTCTGTTTGGAATGTCGAGTCTTGCTCTTTACATTGCAGACCCATGCCAAAGAAACCATAATTATCCTACAAAATCTGTTGTTGATAGTTCAGAGTATACCTCAGCTCCTGGACAGTGTGAAAACTGTTGACTGTGTGTGCTGCGTGGCCCATTGGTGCTCATGCTAGAGGCAAGAGATCCGCCCCCATCTCCCCTACCTTGAGATTTATCTTCTAGGGACCCCGTGCAGTGTAGTGATCAGTACTAGACAAGAATCTGGGAAACCCCAGTTGAAATGCCCACTCAACCTCAAACACTAGGCTGGTTGTTCTCTCTCAGCCTGACCTGCCTCACAGGGTTGTTGTGACGATAGACTGGAGGAGAAGAAGAGGGAGATTGGATTCATACCCCGCCCTTCACTACCCAAAGGAGCCTCAGAGTGGCTTACACAGACTTTGAGCCAAATAAATATTCTTCATGGCAGCCATTATAAAAGAGAGAGAAGTGGGTCTACCATGAGAGGGAAAGGCATATTTCCTGGGAGAGGAGGAAGAAGAAGAAGAAGAGATTGGATTTATACCCCACCCTTCACTACTCAAAGGAGCCTCAGAGCAGCTTACAATCTCCTTTCCCTTCCCCTCCCCACAACGGACACCCTGTGAGGTAGGTGGGGCTGAGAGAGCTCTGAGAGAACAGCTCTTGAGAGAACTGTGGCTTGCCCAAGGTCACCCAGCAGCTGCAAGTGGAGGAGTGGGGAATCAAACCTGGTTCTCCCAGATTAAAAACTTTTTCTGTGCAGACTGCAGGGTGGTAGCTGGCATATTTAAATGGTCATTTGCCAACTTCCCTGACCCTCGTAGGCAGACCTCTAGTACATCAAGGGGAAGTGTTCTTACCCTGTTTTGCACAGGCTGAGAATCACATATAAACTGTTGCAGATTGTGCTAAGTGGCTACAGGTGAAGCTGCCTTATACCAAGTCAGTCCACTGGCCCATCCAAGTGTCATACTGGTGTCGGCTGTCCAGGGTCTCAAGTGGAGGTCTTCCACATCAAATACAACCTGATCCTTTTAACTTGGAGATGCTGGGGATTGAACCTGGGACCTTCTGCATGCAAAGCGGATGCTCTATCCCTGAGCCACAGCCCTTCCCCAGGCACTGAGTTTGTGTGCAAGAGATCTGTATTCCTTGCAGATGTTATACTAGTGTGCTAACTAAGCACATGTAGATACTTTTCATGTGTCACAACCCTGTTTCGACAAGACACAAAGCCTGTGCAAAAATCACATGGGGAACCTTTTTGCCTTGCCAGCTTCATGTTCAAATTAGGCTTTAGCTGGGAAATGTGAAAAAGTACATACACTCCATGTTGTTGTTGTTCAGTTGCACAGTCAAGTCCGACTCTTCGCAACCCCATGGACCACATCACGCCAGGCCCTCCTGTCTTCGTTCGTGCTCCGGAGTTTGCTTAGTTTCATGTCCGTTGCATCAATAACACTGTCTAACCATCTCATCCTTTGCCGTCCCCTTCTTCTTTTTCCTTCAATCTTTCCCAGCATCACTCCAGTGAGTGCTCCCTTTTCATTTGGTGGCCAAAGTATTTGAGCTTCAACTTCAGTATCTGGCCTTCCAAGGAACAGTCAGGGTTGATTTCTTTTAGGATTGATTGATTCAATCTCCTTGCAGTCCAAGGAACTCTCAAGAGTCTGCTCCAGCGCCATCATTCAAAAGAATCTATTCTTCAGCGCTCGGCCTTCCTTATAGTCCAACTCTCACAGCCATACATTACTACTGGGAATACCATTGCTTTGACCATACAGACTTTTGTTGGCAGGGTGATGTCTCTACTCCATGAGGGGTGTGCATTTGGATCTCCCTGAGCCGAAAATATACACAAAAAATATTGAATTGGTATTTTTCGGGTACATTTCAGCATCCCAAAAGTATCTGGGATTTTTTTTTGGGAAAACAAACAAAAAAACCTGAAAAAATCCCGGATATTTTTGGGAACCCGGAAGCTTGAGGAAACAGCTGAGAAGTGAGGAGGCTGCTCCCCCGCCTATTAACAGTCCCTCCCATTTTTTCTACACTCCATTTAAACTGGGCTGATTTAAAGGGACTGCAGAAAAGATCAGGGAAACAGCTGAGAGGCTGGGAAACTGCTCCCTGCCTATCAGCTGTTTCCTTCCCCCTTTTTTCTTCTGCAGTCCCTTTAAACCAGGATGGTTTCCCAATACTTCGCTGGTATTGGGATCCGGCATTTTTTGGAAATCTGGAATTTTGGGGGGGGGTCCAATAGACCTGAACTGAAAAAAAATGGGGGGAAACCCCTGCACACCCCTACACTCCATTGTCCCTGTGTCCTAGTTTCTATTCTTAGTAAACTACTGAGCCTATTTCTGTCTTCTGGGGGTACCCTCTGGGGTTCAAGTGTTGATAATGTGAGCTGCTAGCATCCTGGATCCAATGCTCCCTCTAAGCCATGGAGTCTTGTGAGCAAAAATTCTACTTTGTGAGCTACTGGCATTGAAGTTGTGAGCGAGCAATTTGGCTGCTGCATAAATTCGTTTGCTCTGGAGCCATCCTTCCCGAGCTGAGACAGAAATGTGTGAGCCGGAGGTGAAAAAAATGTGAGCTCGCTCACACTAACTCAGCTTAAAGGGAACACTGGTCAGGAACCATTCCTGGATGGTATGATGTAGTAAGAAATAAGGTCTGGTTTGAAAAAGTATATTGTATGTATATATTCCCTAGACTCTGGAAAAAAAGGAGGAGGAGGTGACATCCGAAGAGGAAGAGGAGAAAGAAGAGGGTGAAGAAGGGAAGGAGGAAGAGGAAGAAGCATACGATGAGGAGGAATATGAAGAGGTATGGTGTTTTGTTTCTGAAGGTCCCCCATCCCTTGGCAGATTTCAGGGCACGCAGGGGCTGCCCAGGGAAGAGGTTGGAATTGAACCTATAGTTTGTATGATTTGGGGCTACAGCTTGCATTTTATTTATTTATTTACGTTATTTGTAGTCCGCCCGTCTCATTAAGCAGTGCAAAAATTACCTTCCTAGTAGGATCCCGCTTACAATAAGCTGTACACCGCAGTATAAACCACAGTCCCTTATCATTTATCCATGTAAGTTTTGTTTGTTTGTACCTTGTGTAAGCCTTCAGGATAGAACCATCTTAATAAATAAGTAATAATGCCCAGGCAAGCTCGATCTCATCAGATCTCAGAAGCTAAGCAGGGCTGACCTCAGCAAGTACTTGGAAGGGAGACCTGCAAGGAATACCAGGGCTGGGATGCAGAGGCAGGCAATAGTAAGCCACCTCTCTGAAATGTCCAAGTCCTACTAGGGGTCGCCAGAAGTCAACAGTGACTTCTAGGTGTGCACACAAAATACCAAAAATTTTAAAAATAAGTAATAATTAGCAACAACCATCCCACCGAACTACCTTTGATGCATTCATGGTGATAAAGGGGAGGTTAGCGCTTTCACACATGCTGAATAAATGCCCTTTCACTCCACTTTGACAATTGTTTGCAAGTGGATTTTGCCATTTCACACAGTGAAACCCAGTTGCAAGGTGTATTGTGAGCAGATTGAAAGTACAGTATTGCCCTGACGTGGATAGCCCAGGCAAGCCCCATCTCGTCAGATCTTGGAAGCCAAGCAGGGTGGACTCTGGCAAGTACTTGGATGGGAGACCTCCTTGGAATGCCAGCCGTCGGGAGGACAGGGGCAGGCTTTACTCGGCCACCTCTCTGAATATCCTCCCAGGCACCCAGGAGGGGTCAGTCACCAGAGGTCGCCAGGACTTCCAGGTGCACACACATTCTCACGCACACGCACACATGGAAAAAGTACCAAAGATACAAAAAGAAAAAGAAAACAAAGTGCAGCATTCAGCACGTCTGAAAGTGCCCCGAGAACAGAGAATGAGCCAGCAACCTACACACAGCCTTGGTAAGATCTGAAGCTCCTTATTAAACTTTGGGGCTCTGAAGAGCCACCATGAGCCAAACATACAAAGATTCCTTCAGCCCCCCAACCCATACATCGTATGAAAACAAAACACACGAATTGTCTGTTGGTGGAACCCCAGGATGACCAGGTCCCCTGGAATTTTGCCTCACCGTTCCCCCTGTCTCAGCTGAACTTCCCATTTCAGAATAAATGATCACGTAAACAAGACTAGGTCCTTCCTGGCAGGTGGAATTCCCTGCCCCTTGAAATGTGGGGAATAACTGTGCAAGGTCTGGTCTGTGTAGGGTTGCCAGCTTCCAGGTGGTGCCTGGAGATCTCCTGGGATTAGAACTGCTCTCCAGATGACAGATCAGTTCATGCGAAAATGGCTGCTTTGGAAGGTGGACTCTATGGCATTCTGCCCCACTGAAGTCCCTCCCCTCCCCAGACCCCAACCCGTCCAGACCCCACTCCCAAAATCTCCAGGAATTTCCCATCC